CTCCCCTCCATGTCCCCTGGTCCCCAGCAAGTGCCCTGGTCCCCCCCGTGTCCCCTGGTCCCCCCCCGTGTCCCCTGGTGTCCCCCGTGTCCCCTGGTCCCCAGCAAGTGCCCTGGTCCCCCCCGTGTCCCCTGGTGTCCCCCGTGTCCCCTGGTCCCCAGCAAGTGCCCTGGTCCCCCCCGTGTCCCCTGGTGTCCCCCGTGTCCCCTGGTCCCCAGCAAGTGCCCTGGTCCCCCCCGTGTCCCCTGGTCCCCCCCGTGTCCCCTGGTCCCCAGCAAGTGCCCTGGTCCCCTCCGTGTCCCCTGGTCCCCCCCGTGTCCCCTGGTCCCCTCTGTAGTGCCCTGACGCCCTTCACATCCCCATGTCCCCTCTGCGTCCCCTGGTCCACTCTGCATCCCCCTGTCCCCACCACGTCCCCTGGTCCCCACAACAGTCCCCTGGAGCCCTCTGCATCCCCTGGTCCCCAGCAAGTGCCCTGGACTCCTCCGTGTCCCCTCATCCCCCCTCGTCCCCTCCGTATTCTCCCATCCCCACTCTAGCAGCCCAGTCTCCTCCACGTCCCCACGTCCCCTCCGTGTCCCCCGGTGGTGTCCCCTCACCATCTGGCCCTGCTTGGCCATCTTCTTGATGTCAACGATGATCTTCTTCTCCTGCGCCTCGAGCTTCTGGCGCTCGCGGTCGAGCTCCCGCATGGCGCGGGCCAGCGCCCGCTGGTTCTGCCGCAGCAGCTCCTCCGGCGTCTTCCGGCGCCCGAACAGCAGGTCCATGGCGGCAGCGGCGCCTGGGGACACAGACGGGGTGACATGGTCATCGGGGACGCGGATGGGGCACGAATGGGAGGGCACAGACATGGGGGACATGGATATGGGGGACACGGGGACATGGTGGGACACGGTGGGACATGGATATGGGGGGCATGGGGACATGGTGGGACACAGGGACATGGTGCGACACGGGGACATGGTGGGACATGGATATGTGGGACACGGGGACATGGTGGGACATGGATATGTGGGACACGGGGACATGGTGGGACATGGATATGTGGGACACGGGGACATGGTGGGACATGGATATGGGGGACATGGGGACATGGTGGGACATGGGGACATGGTGGGACATGGATATGGGGGACATGGGGACATGGTGGGACA